GCGGTGACGAATGGTAGAGATGGGAATGGATACCGCTCACGCAGTTATTTTCCGCAGTAAGTTTAAGAAAAATTATGTATATGTCTATATGATTCAAAGGTTTCAAGTATGTATGTTTAAAAAGTATACGTACATATGTATGCTAAGAAAACCAAGGTTGTAGGTAACAACCCTAGTTCTGAGTATTTAAGTTTTAGAACGTTGCAACAGTACATGCAACAAATAAATGAATTTTAAACATGACGATTTAAATGAGTAATTTTAGAAGGACTTTAAGATGTACTTGAATTTAAGATTTCTCACGAAATCCGTTTTAAAGTCAAATGAGATGGCCGATTGAAATGACTAGTTTTAGAAAAGCTTTTAAAGAGTATTTAAAACAAGAGTTCAAATGCTATTCCATTTGAAGGATATTCCTAAAAGGTTTTATCTTAACTAAAATTAAGAAAAGCTTTAAGAAATTTAGTGATTCACTTATTTGAAATTATTGTTACAAATTATGAAAGTATTCCTTCTTATATAAAAAAAAAAAAAAAAATGTTCCGCATATTTTAAGAAACCCCAGTAAGTACAAGTTAAAGTTTAAGTTACAGTGGCGGCCTCATAGGAGGGGCGTCACACATTAAAGGTCCACACCCTATTAGATACATTAAAGTCCAAAATACTCAAACCTTAGTAGATCACTTTTAATTAGACTTAATCTTATATGACAACCTGCAACACATAATTATTCACATATAAACCTAATATTAGATTAAGGATCCAACAAACAAGACCCAACGGATCCCGTCTGCACATGCTCATTGTTGCTCAGCAATGGCAAATATCTTCTTCTTCTTCGCTCTACTGGAGCTGAGAGCTTAAAGAGAGAGAGGGGAGATCCGCATCTGGGAGGAGAGAGAGAGAAAGTTGAAAAAAAAAAAAAAAATCCCAGCTATCAAGAATGACTGCGCCGTATACGTAACATACATAGTTTGCACGTTACAAGAAAGAAAAAGGAAAAAGCTCTAATTTTGATCAAGAGGAAAAGAACTTACCATTTCAATCAAACTGTGGATTTGCTAGTCTAGTTCCGCCACAAATATTCACTCAAAAATTCAAAATGAACTTTGCTACCAAAAATATTAGTACAACAAAGGTTTATATACTTCAAAGTAAAATACTGTGAGTATGAAGGAAACAAGATAAATCAATTGCAATGCAAATACACAACCGCAGTGGATAGAGAATGAAAAACAACCAAAGAACAGGTTGCCACAGAGTATTAACTGAAATTTATTAGTCAACAATTTAAAACTGTTTGATTCCAGTGTTCCAAAGAATACATGATTGTTTTTTTAAGTTTTCATACATATATACTGTATTTATCACAAAATCCATTAAGAGACTCGCAGAAATCCTAATGCCAGTTCATCAGACTCTAGCTTGGCCCCAACCCGACAATCTGCATGAGACATATCCATCAGTATCTTTTCCTTTTTTTTCATGTTTTGATCTTTACACTGCCCTTTACGGTCAAGGTGATTTGAGTCCCAAAGACTACCACCGCAACAAAATCATCTAACCATTAAGTCACACAACATTCTTAACAATACGAGGACTGCTGTAGCATCTCATGGTTTCCATGGCGCTGGAGGTGGCGGTGGAGTCGGGAACATTGGGGGAACTGCCGAGAAAATAGTGTTCTTATCAATCCCAGCATTCTTTTCACCAGACAATGCAATGAGTGCTGCGACCAAACCCGCATTGCCTGCAAGAGTTGGTTCCGTGTAATTGTAATTAGTACGAACATCATGGAAACCATCGTGCTTATCAGGACCGGCAACCATAGCTCCAACAATCACATTAGGGTTTGGATTCTTAGTGTCCCTCCAATGCCAACCTCCTTTGCAGTTATACTTGATCTTGTTCTTGGGGATAGAAGCACCTCTGTGGTGGACATGTTTTGGGTAATGATTACCAAAACCAACTATATAACTCATTTTCCGAGGGTTATTGCCAAGGATGTAATTAATCTGCCAAAAAGACAAAGTAAAAACACAAAGTCAATTTTAATTGTTTCCAAATATCATCTTCTAGTAGTAAGTAAAAATAGAACTGGTACAGAAAATTAAGTATGCATACCTGGGTCTTAGCAAAATCACGCAGTACATCGGTAGAATAGAAATTGGGTCCACAATACCATCCAGGTGTATCTGCAGCCTCAAGATAATCACTGAAGAGGGTCGCCAGAAAAGCTGCATTGACTACATACTGAAGAGGCTGAGGTCTTCCATGATTCAACTGGATTAAGCCTCCTGGAAGAAACCGCTAAGATATCAGTACCAACCACATTGGAACTTTTGAGTGCCTAAACAAACGTCAATTAACCATAAAATAAACTGTACCTCTGGTTCTGTTAAAGCTAGTGAAAATTGGTAGATAAGAACACATGATTATGCTTGTCTGGTTGTGGAACGTCCTCAAAATTTCTTCATATGGATAACCAGGGCTCAAGAATAATCTTAGACGACTCAGAAGTACCTATATAAAAATAAAAAATATATAATAAATCAAAACAAAACAAAATATCATCAAGCAATTCTGTGTAATGGCAACATAAGCGACCACACTTTAGACCAAAAGTGAAAAAATACTATGTATTTTTATTATATAAAAATAAAAAATATAATAAATCAAAACAAAACAAAATATCATCAAGACACTTGGAATTTAACATACCTGAGCACCGGTAAGCTTGTTGTCCCAGCTTAATACACCGTAATCAGGGCCTCCCCAAAAGGCGCCGGCATGCTTGGCAAGGCCAGGAGTTGTGACAAGCTGAAGATATGAGTTGTTGCCCGTGGCATAGTACAACCAAGTTCCTCCCCATAAAAATTCATCCCAATAGGTGGTGGAGTTATAGAATATTGCAGCCTCTGAAGTACCGGCACTATATCTGCCTCTCTCTTCCCTTGAAAACTTGAAGAGTGTCTTTGCACCGTGGACAAGTTTCTGCGAGTAGGCCTTGTTGTCTTTGAAAACGATGGATGCAGAAGCTAATGCCGCAGCCATTTCAGCAGCAAGGTCGGAACAACTGTGACATTCAGTCACAGGTCGTTCATAGTCAATATTCTCAGGACGCATCCAGCAATAATGATCGTTCGGGGTGCCGTTCCCTCCAGAAGTATCCCCGGAACCAACCTATCAAAATGGGAAGAAAACTACAAATCAGCTGCACAGAACCCATGTAGATCCACACAAGAAACCTTTAATTATTAGCAATTAGCCAAAACATTGGCTGAATAGTAGTTAGCAAAAATTAGAATTCTGAACAACCTTTTTTCACTTGAACAGGTAACTCACAATACCAAGAAAATCAACATGGTTAAAAACCACTCAGAGGAAGTCATGTCAAAGTGCAAACAAATCAAAACCCATGCACTACCTGTGCCGCAATCCTGTCGATCGAATCGGCAGTATGATTGAACGACTTGAGAAAGTAGTCAGCTCCCCACTTGATAATATCCTTAGCGTGGTCGAGTTCCCCAGCAGCCTCATACTTGGCGCTGTATTCGATGACACTCCAGCTCAACATGGTCATGGAGAAAGCCATAGGGAAGTTGAACTTGATCGCATCTCCGGCATCATAGAACCCGCCAGACAGATCCTTAAAAAGGGTCGAGGAATCCGATTTTCCATCATGCACGCAAGAGTTTCCCCTCCATGACACATTGTTATGCTTTGGCAGTTTCCCAGCTGCAATTTTAGAACGAATCAAAATTAAGACAACCCAAATAATAAAAATAAAAATAAAAATAAAAATAAAAAAACCCAAAATCAATTGTGGTCTTCTATTTTTTGGCACTTTCCCAGCTGCAATTCTTAAAAGGATCAAAATTAGGAAACCCAATTTTTTTTTGTTTTTATTTTTATTTTTTATATTCAAGGCATAAATCCAATTTAGACAACAAAACTACTGCAAGAACTAAACCATTTATCAAGAACTAAATTCAACTACAAAATTGATGTCTATCTGTCACTATAAACTAATTAAGAACCAACAACAAAAAATAATAAATAAACAAAAGGAAGAAATTCGGAATCTTTTCGATCTCTAATTATTTCCATGAATGGCCTTTGCGATCCTAGAGTCGTTGTTAGTATAAATCTCTATCACACAGATTAAGATTAACCAAAAAAAAAAAAAAATCCACTACTTGATTCGATAAATTGAAGTAGATCAACATCAGATCCAAATCCCTAACTCAAAAATTCAAAACACAAATTAAGAGAGAGAGCGTAACATACATCGCTGGGCGTTGAAGAACATTAGGGCTTTGTGAAGAGCGAGAGTGTAGTTATCCGGCGGAGCATGGCCGTGCTTGTGGCGAGGGACGGTCTTGACGATGAGAGTGATGAATCCGGCGAGCAAGGCGGAGACGACGAGAGTCCCGACGGTCCAGATGAAGATCTTGCGGCTGACGATGATGCATCCGAGATCAACGTACTTCTTCTTCTTCTGCTCCCCCGTGGGGCCCAGCAGCCAGCTCTGCTGCGTCTCATCCAACGGCCGAGACGACAGCGCCGCCCTGTCGAAGTCCTGGAGGTTCCGGCTCCGGTCGTCGTCCGTCGCCGAGTCCGCCGCGTTTATCTCCAGTGGGCCTCCCCACGGATCCCGCCCGTACATGCTCATTGTTGCTCAGCAATGGCGAATCTCTTCTTCCTCTTCTTCTTCTTCTGCTTCTTTGCTCTTATGGTGCTAAGAGCTTAGAGAGAGAGAGAGAGGAGATCCAGATCTGTGAGAGAGAGAGAGAGAGAGAGAGGGATATGGAAGAAGAGGAAAGAAGAAAGTGTCGGTTGGAGTGTCGGGAGTGAAGAATATGAAGATGAGGGGGGTGATGTGTAAAGAAAAAGAGGGTAAACGGGAAAAATGACAAATTTGATTATTGTTGGGAAATATTTATAAAATATTTGAGAGGAGAAAAGGAATAAAATAATTGGGTGGTGGAATGGGAATTGGGAACAGTTGCTTTTGTGAGTGTGTATCTGACGGTGGGTAGCACTTTCTTTCTCTAAGTTTCTCTCTCTACATTAATATATGACTCAATAATGGTTGTCACGCCTTCCTACTTTCTTAATTTCATATAATTAATTATTTGTTTTAAATTAATAAAATACAGTTAATTCTGATAATTCAGGTTACATTAAAATTATATTAAAATATTAATTTAAAATTTTCAGTAAAACTATTATATGTTAATTCATAATTGATATGTTTTTTCACCTTACACTATTAAAATTTTCTTTTAAAGAAATTTTATGGCTTTTTAAGAGATTCAAGCACTTTTTTTATGGCAATCCGAAGTACACTATTAATAGTGTCGTTTGTTGTTTATTTAATTGTTTAATACGTTTTTATAATTTGTTTTTTGAGAAATCAAATTTTTGTCTATTTGGTTATTAATGTTGTTACATTTAATAAAAGCCTTATGTATGCAAATTTAATGGAATCTATTGAAATTTTAACCGGTTCAAGAAAATGTATTATTTTTATTATATTATTTTTAGGTTCGTTTAGTTCGTTGATTTAAGTTGAGATGTGACTTTACGTTAGAGCTTTTTACTACAGTAAAAAAATTAGATGTGATTGTTTTTAAGAACTTTTTACTGTAATAAAATTTAAATTTTAAACTCAAATCGGTAAAATAAATATAGTAATAATATAATTTTTGGTGATGTGAATCGGTTTGGGTTTTTCTTGAATTCTTTTTAATAATTTGTGTATTCTTGATGAGGACTTAATAGATTAAATAATGCGAGATTATTTTTTTTATTTTCAATCTCTTAAGCTAAAAGAGTTTGTCGTTTTCTTTGTAGTTTTTCTCTTTGTTTTGTGGTCTATTTGCAAAAGAAAATAAATTAAATTAGGTTGATGACAAAGACCACTCCGCTAATCGACAGTGACAGTCTGTCTAATCTCTAATATAATCTTTTCTTTTCTTTTTTTTTTCTTTTTTTTTTCTTTTTTTTCTCTCTCTCTTTGTATCTTGTGATATATTCACTGGCAGTGAGACATAAACAGTTGGTTAGTTCTTTTCTTGGCTTACACTCTTTTTCTGGTGAAATTGTAATAAAAGATCCACAGTGACCCACATATATCGCCACCCACACTGAAATGGAACCCATCAACTTCCTCCTTCTCTATCATCTTCTATAATTTAATGAGAGAGGGAAAAAAAAAAAGTTTTTTGACAAACATTCTAATGTAAAAACTATGAATAGTAATTAATAGAAAAATGAATAATAGAATGGTACCAATTTGTAATTAGTTATAATTAACTAAAGTCTCGTTTTTTTCATTAATTCGAGTTTTACTACAGTAAAAAACTCTCAGAAACAGTCATATCTAACTTTTTTGTTACAGTAAAAAGTTCTCACACAACATCACATATCTACTCAAATTAAAAACTCAAATTAGCGAACCGAACGGACTCTAAAAATGTGCGTTGAATTAAGTGGAAAGGAATGACTAACTGTAACTACTTTTTACTATATATATATCAGAAAATGATTATGTTATCTGAGTTTCATTAAAAACTAATGAGTTTTAAGTCGATTGCTTATAAATAATTTTAAGTGCTCTATATAAGATTTAAGCATTATTTTCTGATAGCTTGAATTATTTTACATTCCATTCTTAGTAAATTTTGTTGGTTTCCGGTGTCTTTCTTGTGTTCTCATTGTGTTTAGTTTTGTTTTGTAGGTTGTGTGCTCGAAAAAATAAAGGGTTCAAAATGAGCTATTACTAGGGACAAATTTTGGCTACAGCTAGTTTTTTCTCGCTGCAGCCAGAATTTATACATAAAGTTGTTGAATACAATAGCGGTTCCACCCAGTTGTTTCCCGCCGCAGCCGTAGCACTGGAGCTATGAAATAATAAAGTTGCTGCAGCGGGTTTTATGCAGTAGAATATAGGAAACCCAAGAGTCACTCCGACGATGTTGCAACGGGATTTTCCCCGCTGCAGCCAATTTATGTGTGCTAGTGACTTAATAAGGCTGCGTTTGCACACATTTTAAGGAGGTATAAAAGAAATTTATGTCCGTTTAGTTCATGGATTATAATTATGTGATTAGAATCATTTTCTATTTACGTGTATTTTTTATGAGATAAAATATTGTAGCGAATCACGAATCATGATTCGAATCAGGGAACGAATCCCTCTACCAAACATGACGGAATACTCAATCAAGGGGGAGACTAGACAGACTTAGGGATCCTCAAAAATCACACCAAAAAGGAAAATTTAATTTTAAAAGTTTAGAGAAAGATTGAAGAAGGAATTGAAGATTTGGAGCCTCCATCATCATCTAATTTCATTCTTTCTCTCTCTTCTTACTTTGAACTTGTGTATTTTTTTCTTGAGATTTGTGTTGAGCCATGGATTTGATGTTTGGATTCTTATGGTTTGTTTTCATTATTGACTTGATTATGTGTAACTAAACTCTAAATTTAGGGCCTTGGTGTGGTTAACTTGAACTATGTTTTGAATGTTTAGTTGGTTGTTAATAAAATATTGACTCTATCATTTGTGTTTCTCTTGAAATTAATGCTTCTAGTTTAATTAGAAAATGGACTAGTTTCTTTGATATTTGGGTTGATGCTCGGAAGAGATTAGTTCGAATATCGGTATAGGAAAGCACAATCTAATGTTATTGTGAGACTGTGAGGTGATCAACACGTATGTAATGGTTATGAGAATCTTGACAATTGTGAGATTTGAAGGTGATTAAATGTTTAGATAATCATTAAATGATTGAGCTTAATGAATGTGTTTATACTCAAGCTAGATAGAGATATTGGCTTGTTTATTTGCACATTTTGTCTTACTTGACGTTGGGGAGAGGTAGTGAGACTAATTTAGAAACCTTAGATTAATAATTTGAGTTAAATTAATTGGCAACCACTAAATTGGAATACATAGAGAGTGCGAAGCGAAATCAAAACCCTAGAACTCCATTATTATTGTTATTTCCACTCATAGTTTCGATATTTAGTTTCTTATTTTGTTAGATCTTGTTTTCTAACTTTAATAGTTAAATTAATTTACTTTTATTGCTTTAATTACTCAATTCACTCGATTTTGATCCCCTATATAAAATTTAATTCCAAACACTCATAGTAATTAATTTAATTTTCAAAAAATCAATTTTATTAGAAGATATTCGACTTTTTAATCACTTTATTATTTTCCATCTATCAAATCACTTAAAGATAAAAGCTCAACATTTGAAGATTCATTATGTTAGTTGTTATATTACTTGTACGTGAAAATGCTTAATGGAATGTGTGAGTGAGAGTTGAAGCCCAAATGGGAGAATTTGTAATTCACTTCAAGCAATTATAATTCTCTATAAATCGATTTCTATTTGATTTTTGGATGTATTTCGTTAATATTGTTACACAAGTTGATTATTTAAAATAATAATAATAATAATAAGATTGTTGCACAAGTTTGAACAAATGGTTTTTGCAATAGTTTTGTTTAAAAATTGTTATTTTCACAACTCAAGTTCTATTGTTACAATATTTTTTCTTATAAAAATTTAAATTTAATTTTTTTGTTGCTACAGTATTTTTTTCTCACATACACAACTCAAGTTCTCAACTTGAGTTGTGAAACAAACATAAGTAAAAAAGTGAATTTATGTGAAAAAGATACTATAATAAAGAAATTAATTTAAATTTTTATGAGAAAAAATACTGTAATAAAAATTTAAATTATTATTCAAATTAACGAAACAAATTATATTATTTTAACTCAAATGAGTGAAATGAGCGAGGTTAGTTAATAATGTTTAACAATACGATATATCTCCTCCTAGTCAACCGCATTTTTAAGACAAATAATTGAAAATGAAATGTACTAAAAAAAGGTATACAGCCTGCACTTTGCTGTTAGTGAGAGTATTTTTCCACCGTCACATTCCCATCAATTGAATTGAATATTGATGGCCTCTCATGTTTGACCAAACCAAACTTTGCCGACACTTCAAAGACATCCAAAATGCTCTCGTCAGTTCTCACTTAACTGTCCATATTTCTATGACACTCCAAAATTGTTTTGGGCCTTTTTTCCAGAACAAGGCCTTGTTGGGTCTTAGTAGGCCTTCACATGATCCAACCGTATAAAATAGGGCCAGGCCCTGAGAAATTCCCCGAGAAATTCCCTGAGAAATTTGTGTTGAAAAGGAAAATAACATGGTAGATTATTGCTGATAATCCACAAGATTACTATTGGCCACCAACGCCAGCGACCGTCAACCAATTTGTGATCACTGTTGACCGGTTGGAGCAAGCGGAAAAAACGAAAACTCCAAATAGGAGTGGCAAAACGTTTGGCATTCTTCAAGTTTTCTCATAAAACAATAGCCGGGGTTTTTGGTAAGATGAAAAGGTTGTTTTGGTAAATCGCACACTAACTTCAAGTCAAGTTGAATCCAAAAACATTGGAATAAAAAAATTGAATTTGAATTTTTATGAACTGTAGCAAAAAAAACTTAATATAACAATACATGAAAACAGTTCTCAACATTGCGAGCTACATCATCCATAGCCTCTGTATAATATTATATAAGAGTTCCTATATTATCTAGACTGATGCGTTCAATGCACTCAAATGAAAATATTTTCGTTTACTTCAGGTCTGTTTAGTTCACTGATTTGAGTTGAGATATGACTTTATATGAGAGTTTTTTACTGTAATAAAAAAGTTAGATGTGACTATTTCTGAAAGTTTTTTACTGTAGCAAAATTTGAATTCTAAACTTGAATCGGTGAAATGAACGGAGCCTTCTTAACTCGTTATGCTTTTTGTTGATTATGTTTGGACTCACTCTTTGCCTTTGATTATTGGCTCTCTTAAGCAAGCGAGTGCTTTTAGTTATTGAATGAATTTTAATTTCTCCTAAAAAAATATGGATTTTAATTTTAAACATAAGAACACTACAAAAAATACCTCTAAATCACGCACCATGAGCCACTTACATGTAAAAAAAAGTATGGATTAAGCAAATGGCCGTTTTTTAATAAATGTATTTAATAAATGACTGAACTTTTTATTTTTTTTAAATTAACGGCCGTATATTATATTTGCATTTTTATTTTAGAAAAAGGCCTTTTTCTACAAAATTCAATTGGTATAAGCTGATTTATCATCAATTTACAATGGTTTATGACTAATGAATTTGAAATCAATTAATTACCAAGTGATTTTGGTTAATAACTAATTAATAATAAAGAATCACCAAATTAATTAGTAATAAATCACTAAATTACTCCGTTATTAACCACTAAAATAGTTAAAAAGGTTATTTTTCTAATTTTCAAAACTTCATTAACAAAAAAAAGTAATTTGCTTTTTATATGGGTGATAATACCCTTTTTTTTTTTTTGCTAGAAATATAGGTGATATTGCATTACACTTTGAAAATAGGGACGAGATTTTTGTTAAAGGGTGAGCTTTAACTGGAGAAATTTTTTGCAATGGAAATAGAAGATTTTTAAAACTAAATGAGGTAAATAAAAGATTTTAAAATTATTTAAAGTAAATAACAATTTACGTGATAAATGAATCATTTATCGTGAAAAAATAATTACGACAAATAATAAAAACTTGTGTGGTAAAAATTTATATTTACATGAAAAAAATATTTTTATTAGTTATAAAAAAAAGATGTACATGAAAAAAAATATTTTTACTCATGTAAATAAACCATTTACATAATAAGTAATTCATTTAACTTACTATTTATTTAAAATAATTTTAAAATTATTATTTACTTAATTTAATTTTAAAAATATACTATTTGTTATATTCTCTTATTTGGCAAAACTTGGCTACATAAAAGTGCGTTTAAATAAGTATGACAGCCAAAAAAATAAGTAATTATGACATTTAAGTAAGGGTAAAAATGGAATGACGTAACAAAAAGCTCGTCCCTGGAGGATAGGTATAAAAGGTATCTCCTAAAACCCTCGTTTCTTCTTCTTCCCTCGCATCAGCAGCAGCCGGCGCAAAGAAACCAAAGAAGAACTCTCTCTCTCTCTCTACCATTCTCTCTCGTTCTTGCTCTCTCTCTACCATTCTCTCTCTTTCTTGCTCTCTCTCTCTCTCTACTTTTCTCTCTCTTTCTTCCTGTCTCTACCTTTCTCCCTCTCCCTTTGAGGAAACGGTGTTTGGCAGCTCCGCCATCGTTTCCTCAAAGGAAAGTGTGTTCTCTCATTCTCTTCTGTTGTGGCCTGAATCGGAGTGTCGGAAGCCATGGGAGTTGAGCTCAGGAACGGAGAAGCGGGCTTTCATGAGCTCGACGATGCCGATTTCACCGATTACGACTTGGTCTATCACGTCAGAGATGCCCTCACTTCCGTTTCCATGGTGATCAATCAAAACCTTCAGTTCTGTTTTTGTAGAAACAGAGCTCAATCATAAATCCTTAAACTTTATATCGTTAAGTATTGGTCAGGAAATCAGCTTTTGAGATTCTCTCTCTAGCTTCTCAGACTATTCTCTCTCTAGGATTACTTGAATTAGTAAATAAATTGTTTTAGAGAATTTTTTTTGGTGCCTTATTTTTTTTGGGAATTTTTGTGGTTTCTTTCTGATAGAATATTCTAGGCTTTTTCTGACTCAGGACCTTACTATGACAATGGAATCTTTGTGGAGATTATTAATGTTTGAATCAAACTTGTGAATCCCATGTTTTTTCTTAGAATTTATCTGATGTGTATCACCTTATATGGGTTGAAGTGGAAAATGGGACTTAGTTGATGCCGTTTTATGCCAAATTAAGGGTCTGATAATCAGAATGTTCATTGACCTGAAGCTTATGAGAACTGATACTGACAGTAAGAGCTTTTTTTTTTTTTTTTCGTGTTGGTATAGGGTGATAGTGACAAGTACAACGAGCTTGTTGCAGTTATGCACCACAGGGGACCTCTTGCCCCTGATGAAGTGGCTCTGCTTGTGGTGAGTTCTTTATCTAAAACTTAGTTGTTTTGTTACCTTTAGTCCTTTAATGAATTTAATGTCATCTTTTTTCTTTTTCTTTTTCTGTATTTCGCTTTCTTCTTTAGCATGGTATAGACGTTTCTGTGAAAAACTTAGTAGTTCATTTTGCTGATTTGATTTCTTGTTTGTTTATCTGTGGTCTGTAGACAAGTTTGAAGGCATTGTCCGGGGCAGTTTCATATATTGATAGTGTTCTACACGAGTCACTTCTTTCTTCAGTAAGTTAATAAGTGGAGTTTTCTAGTTTTGGCTATTCTTCTGTTAGGCGGTGAATACTGATTATGCTGAGCAAATGTTGTCCAGATATTTTCCATGAACATGTGGAATTACAGGCCGGATGTAATGGATGCGTTGCTTGAACTTATCATTTCCTTGGTATGTGGGGTTTCTTCAATGTTTCTACTGTTTGAAGAATGGCTTGGACCGATCATTCATATTGTTTCCTCTTTGCAACATTGCAGGCTGCGTCAAATGGAACATATATAGATTCGTGTTTGGACATGCTTGTGGGCAATTTCACGCCCCCAAATTATTTCACAGATATGCTGAAGCAACCACGAGGTATTGCTAGAAAGGACCAAGTTCTATCTCGTGTGCATTCATCTCTCAAAGTTCTAGCTGATTTGGTGCCCCTTTCTCCCATGAGATTGTTACCAATAATAATACAGAGAAAGCCACACTACTGTTCTAAGGAAATTGTGAGTTTAATTGGTTCTTCACATTGACTTTATTTATTTTTGCCCGGTTACAGCACTGTTTAATGCATGTGTTCTTGAATGTTTATTTTTGGATTGTTAAAGTTATATGAGTAAGGTAGGCAGTGGAGGTTTCAGAGTCAGTTTTGGTCTTGGAGGGTTTTCAACTTTTGGGCAGGATTCAAGATAGGAGGGTGTGGGTGTTAGATAGCCTGAGATTCTTTTCCATTAAATCTTTTTTCTTTTTGGGTGGATGGTTCCGATTCTGTCACTTTGTCTATTTTGATATCATTTGGAAAACCGCTATTCCTTCTGAAGTTCAAGTGTTTTGTTGTTTTATTTTTCTTGATGAACTGAATACTCACGATTTCATGCAAAGGAGGAAACTGTTTCTGATTTCGCTCAATCTCCCCAGGGTGGAATGTTTTATGTAAAAAACAGTGGGAAATTGTGGATCATTTGTTTTGGCATTGCTAGTTTAGATGTAACTTATGGTGCCTATTGTTGACCGTATATAATTTAGTAGTCTGTTGTTTGCATCTTGTCAGGGACTGGGTTTTATTTTGTAACATTCTTTTTTTTTGAGCATGGGAATTTAAAACCTTATATCTTGTAGTAAATGTGTGGTTGTGCTTGGGGATTTAAGACCTTATTCTTGTGGTAGATGTGGGATAAGAATCGTTTAGTTTGTGATTATGGCAGCACTTAATAAAAACCTTGAACTGTGAGGGGCGTTTACTGTTTTCTAGGACTAATATAAGGTAAGCTTAAATTTGCAAGTATATTCGTCAATATTGTTTCAACAACTGGATTTTGATTGTTGCTTCTGAAAAATTTCATTTTTTCCCCTGAGACTCTCTAGTGGATTAAAATTGTTTTTTTTCCTCTTGAAGTCGAATTGATATTTTTGTGGGTTTATCTAAATATATCTATTTTCTACTGCAGATTCTTGTTATTTATGTGGAAAATATGTTGAAATTAGAAAGTGGTATTTTTGGTGAACTTGTTGGGAGCGCGATGCTTTCAGGGTTGGTGGATTTGTTGCTAGATTTGGATGTAAGATTGTCTTCTTCTCTGTCTCTCTTGAAAAAATAAAAAACTTCTCGTTGAGAGGATTAAAGATGATTCTGCCTGATATGGTTATGTGTTGAACTTTTTACAGGTGGAGATTGGGTGGGATGATATCTTACAAGATGAATCTGCCAAAGGAATTTTTAGTATGGAGCTTGAAGACGTCGATGAGGATATAGATGATGAATTGATGGATGGTGGTGAGGTATGCTTTATTGGTTTCCACTCAGTTATAAATTGGTAATTTCATTTAAAGTTGGGTTCCTCACCTGAACAAAAAAAGTATTATAGTATTAGTATAGTAATAAACGTTAGGTGCTTAATTTTGTAATTTTTATCATGTAGTTAATAGAGTAATAGCTTAGGCCCTTTACTTCTCTGGAAATGCAAATTCTTAAATCTCTGAGTTTTTATTTAGAAATGAGATGTAATCAACTGAAGAATTTGTGTATATCTACTCTCTCGTTTCTACAGTTTTTTTTGTGTGTGTTTTTTTGTTTTTGCACTTCTTTGTCATTTTCCCTTGTATCATGTTATTTGTCGACTTCTAGATAACTAACAGTTTGTTGTATGGCGTAGCAACTACCATTGAGCTTCTGTTATTGGTTGATTTGGTTCACTTTGTTTTGACTTTTTTACCCACCTTCCAAATGCTTTAAAGACTCGGCCTTGAAAGTTTCAACATTTTGATATCTGAGTATCTTTGCATACTGTAGCAACAGTAATATTATTTGTTTTGATGTTGGTTTTTGTCAACTTGGAGGAACCAAACTTCTAAAGTGAAATCTGATTAAGCATGATACAAACTAACAAAATAAACTTAAAATGAAAATCCAAGTAAAAAAAAAAAAAACATGGAAGTTTTAGAGTGGTTTGGCTCAATGAAGCTTACATCCACTATTGTTGTTGATCTATTATTGACTTTATGTAATTACACCCTCAGTTTCAAAATTTCACTCATAAGTTTTTCTGAGAAAAGATTTCATATTCTACTTCAAAAATTTAGTCTCTTCTCTGAAACACCCAACATTCTAATTGTTAATAACTTAATATGATCTCAGAAACCATAGTGGAAGTAGGCCTAATCCTGATTGAGTCCAACCACTCTGAAATGTTGTTTTCTCTTTTTTATTTTGGTCTTACTTTACTTTGTTTATGGTGTTTGGTTTAGGTTTGATGAGATTTTGCTGTAGGAATTTAGTTCCTCCATGGTTGATGAAAAGTGAGGTCACTAACATTTTTCAAGGAGATGGCATACATTACGTACACATAAATATCTGTGTGTGTTTATGTGCTCGTACACCCACATGTTTGTAATGTATGCGCGCACACACACATACCATTATATATACTTCGTGACAATTTTGAAGGATCATGCAAATATGTTCAATAAAGAACAGAATTAATTCCTGCCAAAAGAGGAGAAAAAAAAAACGTTTTTATGATATTTCGTTTCAAATGTGTGATTACCCATTTTGCTCCTACAATTATTTTTTTGGTTTATTTATTGTATCTTGTTAAGTAGTTATGGCAGTTTACTTCTGCTGTTGTAAACTAATGCTCTGCAAAGTTATTTCATACAGCTTCCAAGAGAACTTAGCCGGAAAAGTTTGGTGGGAAATCTATTTGCTCGGAAATTGGATAGCTTGATGGTGTTGATATTTGAGCATCTTGAATCCTGTGAAGTTGGTCGTCGTTTAGTTGAGGTATCTTTTGGATGATCTCCAATTTTTTTCTTCTCCTAAACATGCTCGAAACTCAAATTTTCTCATGTTAGTTTATTCGGTGGCTAGGTCTTTGAGACTCTTCTCCAACCATTTCAGAAGACCGTTCTGACTGCATATAAGTCGAAGTTTTCCCAGGTTTTATGCCTCTGCTGTTTTTATTTGCCTACATTATTTGTTTTTTCTGCATATTCAAGTTCTGATTTACAATATTAACCTATACTAAAAGCAAATGCATTGTTTTTGCTTTGTTGTGTAGTTTGTAATGTTCTATGCATGTGCTTTGGATCCGGAAAACTGTGGTGTCAGATTTGCAAATATGCTTGGGGATACTTTTATTTCTAATTCCCACCCACCACTTTTGAGGTATTTAGCTGAAGCATGCTCGTAGTTATTATTAGCCTCTTTCTGATGGGTAGTTGTTTTCTTTTTATTTCAACAACTCTGACTGTTGAATCCCCTGTTACACTTTGGCTTTTGATGTTATATTCTATTTCAGTGTCCTCTTTTTCTTTTTCGTTTAGTTTTTTTTTTACTATAAATATTAGATGCTCTTGTGATATGTGGGACTTATTTTGCAGTCATTAGAGTTGATTGCTTGGTTGAGGAACATTTTTAAAATGGTTTAAGGTATACCTTATGAATGTGACAATATGTAATGTTGGTTGTGGAACATGTAAAGTAAGATTCTTATGCAGAATTCTCCTTGACAATGATGAAGATTTGGGATGACAAACAATTTTGTCTCTATTTTTTGCTCTTCAAAAATTATTTGGATCGTTTGTTTTTGCACTTCTTTATCACTTCTTTAACATGTTGTACTTGAGTTTCCTAGTAAAGTATTTTTTGCGTGAAGAAAAGACCATCTACGTGCTTTGTCCTTCCACGTCTCCAATTTTCATCGAATTATTTGGCTGTGGTCATAGAATTCGCTGAAATTTTAAAGTATATGTTGTAAGTGTTTCTTGCAAGTTAAAAAATATGATTCCATCAACTAATGGTTTTGTAAGCAGCTAATTTCTTACCAAGTAACTTAATACGTCTGTTTTGTTTTGTTTTGTTTTTTTGTTTTTTTTCCCTTTTTTCCCAGGGTTGTCTATGCTTTCCTAAGTTGTATTGAGTTGATTTTTCATCTATTGATAAAAAGAAAAAGTAACTTAATACGTCTGTTTTGTTTTGTTTTTCCCTTTTTTCCCAGGGTTGTCTATGCTTTCGTAAGTTGTATTGAGTTGATTTTTCATCTATTGATAAAAAGATAAAGTTCAGGGAGGTGGTTGTTTGTACTGATTTCATGTATTGTTTTTATGCAGGATGAGTGCCGTTGCTTATCTTGCTAGTTATTTGTCTCGTGGAAAGTTCCTATCGACCTCTTTGATTGCAGATACGTTGAAAAGGTTGTCAAGGAAACTAAATTCAAGATAAAAGAAAATTAGTAATTAGGGTAAGACAAATGCTGATTAAGGTGTGCGAATCTGATTTCAGGTTGGTGGATTGGTGTTTGGATTATTGTACGATTCAAGAAGGTGAAATAAACCCAAAAGCTCATAGAATTTTCTACTCTGGATGCCAGGTGCATTTTCTATTCTTACCTTGAGGCTCTTGTTAAGAGCAGTGATTCTTAAAAACTTTTTTTTACGTCTTGGTATCATCATGCAATATGCCCTCGTCCCTGGATTTATTTATACTATGATCATTATTTTTTGTCAATCGACATTGAGAAGAGCGGATATGGTTTTTATGACGTGTAGTATACTTTGCCTTAGAATATGTCGTAGTTAATTCTTTTCTCTCTGATTTTCTATATTTGTTTTTGTACTTGTACAGTTGTACTAACATTGTACTATAAGTTGGCTTACTGTACTACTGAACGTTTGGAATATATTTCTCATATATAGGGTTCTTCTTTACTAGGAGATTTACCTTCCAAGTTCATCCTTATATATGTTTTTAAAGTGTTTTTTTATGAGTATCTTAAAACATCTTTTTTGATGCTTATTTTTTCCGTTTCCAGGCCATCATGTATGCACTGTGCTTCCGTATGAGATCAATCATGGGTGTTCCTTGGTTCAAATCACAGCTTCTCATGCCTATAAACTTAATTTTGTCACATAAATTGAGCCCCCTGAAGGTAAGGAGTTGGTTCAGGCAATTGAGGATCCTTTTATTTGCATTTTGCATGGAGATCCATTTAAGGAATTGTATTAGAGGCTCACCCATATGCGGAAGATGCTTTGTGTTTGCAATATGGCATTTACAAGATGAATGAGTAATGACGTTTTGTTTTATTTGAATAGTTATCTAATAGGATCATTCATCTGACAACCTAATCTATTGGTATATCCAGATTTATTAAATCCCTCAACTTGTAAGAAAATTTTCTTACAAATACGTGAACACTTCTTTCTATCTTTCGGACATGCATATGAAAGTTGCTAAATCTCCAGTTGAACATTAATTCTTTCAAGTTATGGCGTCTAACAATGATATTTTTTGTTTAACTTTCTGAAAAAGGTTTGCCTCCCTTCGATAGTAACGGAGTTTCTACGACAATCAAAAGCAGCAGGTTTGTTCATTACATCTGAGCGATTCAATTTTGATGACTACCTGGAATCCGAACTCTCTAAAGGTTTTGGTGGAATGGAAAGGCTCGACATGTTCTTCCCATTTGACCCATGTTTGCTGAAAAGATGTGACAGGTATCTTTTCTTTCCTTTGCTTTAATTATAGAGTGAATTTCTTTTTTCCTTCTTGTCAATAATTACATTTGTATATATGGAAAGGACCCCACTAGGGTGCGAAAAAGTGGTTTTTGGTCAGTAATTGTATTAATTTTGCTGCCTATGCGTCGCTTGTACATATCGAAACAGTAGTTCTTGGTCCTGGAAATTGTGGCAGCTTATTTTAGAAAAGTGATTGAATAATTTTTTTAAGTACTGTTGGAACTTTATGTTCAAGCGGATTTTAAATAACCCACTGACACTATTTTTGTTCATCCCTATATGAAGTTTCATCCGACCCTACTACGTTTACTGGTCGATGGTCAGACCTACTTATGATGATGGCCAAGAAGAAGGCAGCGATGAAGAAGTTGACGAGGCACCCTTGGGTGGGAACACAAAAAGTCGTGAAGATTTTGATCTCGATGAGTTTGACTCTGCAATGAACCAAATGTCCATTACACCGAAGGACTCATTAAAGCACCGGTTTGGGGCCGCATTGAAAGAACCCTTGCGCATGCCCTCAAGAATCAGACCGTCCACAAGTCCCGAGTCTTTGTGAGTCCGAAACCTTCTCTCTAACATTCTTTGCATGGAAGTTAGCAGAAGTAGATCTTCTATGTCATTGTTTTTGTGGAAGACTGTTGTTATGCTGGCCAAAAGTCGGGTGGTAGCATGATTCTAGGCAAATGGTGTTAAAAGTGCCTGGGGCGTTAGTTTGGCCTCTAGTTTTCTTGGTCTTTTGTATCATTGTATTGTAACATATGAAAATCACGTCTCATGTATCCCTTTTTAATTTATTTTAATCAAAAGCAGATTTTTAGAATCTGGTCATCTAGATAAAATTCACACAATTTCTACCCACAAAAGAACAGTGAAGTAATAGTCAAAGTTTTGACCATATTATAGTATCAGACTGGTTCCATTCCATCTAGTTTGTTTTTAATTTTTTATTTATTTTTTAATCTCCTTGACAAATGACAATAATCAAATAGAAAATAAAAACGACAGTCAAGGGTGCCATGGAGAATAACCTCTTCACATTGGACAAGTAAAAAATTTGCAGAGCATTCAGGATATGGATTATCCTTGTTAGGCGGGTCGTTTATTGATCTCCAGTAATTTCTCACGTTTTAATTCGGAGGTTTCTTTAAATTCGAGATTGACATGTGAGAGACTGTGCGGGATCGTGTCATAACGTGTCTCAAAATTGACATGTAGTACAATTGAAGATTGATTAAATTTTTTTTTTTTTGAAAAAATGGAAAATTTACTCTTGAGAGCGCAATCTCTTATTCTTGATAAATATTTTTTTGTTAGTATAAGTATTTGATTATAAATGTTATAAATCAAGAATAAAAGATAAAAGTCTTGACCCATGTACTTTTAAGAATATTTGTCAAGATTATTATTATTATTTTTATTTCGTTATGAAATGTTCCATTTCACTAAGTTGAATCATGCAATTATGGTTGACAAGTATGCCAAGTTGACCGCTGGGCATGTATTTTACAGAGTTGCTGGAAATCACAACTTGTTTATCCAATGTATCGCTAAAATATGATCAACAATGCCCATAGGAAGTTAGAATGTCATAAATCTCAAGAAGTTGTTATGGAGGTCGTTAATCCTTGGATTGCTCAGTATTCAGCTTTTTTAATTTATGATATGCGATCTAATCTGATGCCCTTTTTAAGGATACATATAACAATGTCACAGAAAGAGATGCACGAAACACTAGTAAAGATGAGTATTGACTTGTTCTCTCTTCAAGGTAAAAAAAAAAAAAAAAAAAAAAAAAAAAAAAAGAAAAAAAAGGAAAAAAAAAAAAAAAAAAAAAAAAAAAAAGACACAGATAAGAAGAGGAAAGAAAAAACCAATGAAAAAGAAACTAGTGCGAAAGAGCTTCTAACCTTTTTTACAAGGCAAACTCTCTGCCAAGTGCCAATCAACTTTTTGTTGCAAAAAAAAAAAAAAAAAAAAAAAAAAAAAAAAAAAAAAACATAAATCATAATACAGTTTTCAGGTAACATAAACAAGGCATTATTGGCGTTGTTATAGAGGTGTAACAATTGTCTGGAATAACTAATTTTTTTCGGGTCCTGTATACGTGTACGTACACATGTATATGTACTTAAAAGCTGTTTTTATCATTGTTTTCGTGACGATGACTTCATAGGAGAGGACTTTTTTCACTCCCATGACCAAAAACCAAAATTATGTTTCCATACAATCAATATTTCCAAACAACAGTGTCTGTGTCACGGCTTATCAATTTCCAACCAACAGTGTCTCTGTCACAGCATTGAAGATGATTGAAAATCTGTTGAATTATTCAAACATGACAGCTTATGCAAATTATTATTATTTTGTTTTCCGTTTCTAAATTATCCTAATTTAGTTCTGAGTCTTCTGACCAATGACTAGAAAATGTGTGGAAAAACTTGGGACACAAGAATATTCTGCGAATAGGGTTGCTCAAAAACCTTGGCGTGTTCTTATGCTGGCCATTCCTCAGATTCTGGCTGAAGCTTTTTTCTTCTGGGGATTTTCTTCCCATTTGTCTAGTGGTCTCAAAAGAAGCGTGAAAGCTTTTGTAGCACTGGTTTACTCAATAATGGATCAAAAACTTCAGTTATTTTTGCTTCTAGTCTTCTCCAAAACTTTCTTTATCACAGCAGAAAACAGTGACTGTAAGTTCATTTCAGTGATTTTTCTACTATATTTTTGGTTTGGTGAACTTTTTCTTCGTGTTTTGATGTATACTATATTCATTTCTTTTTATTATTATTTTTTATTTTTTATAGCTTTCTTATCTAAGCATTTCTCCAGTTATAACAACAAAAAGAAAAACGGATTTTAAGTTCCAAGTATTAACTTCCACTGATATCTAGGATAATGGACAGTGGCTATTTATGCTGTATTTACTCTCCCTTTTTTCTTTTTTTTTTTAATAATTTAAGTTTTGAATTAAAGAAAGAACATGGAAAATGAAAGAATGAGACTCTCTCAGGTCTAGAAATTCTGGTGTTTGTTGTTTAGGCAAACAGGAGTTCTACTTCTCTAGTTCATGACAAATCTCAAAGAAGATAAAGTCTACTATTCCAAAATATGAACTTTTTTCTCTCCTAAAATCTTGTTGAGAGAGATAGAATCAGTGTGATTTTGATTACTGTCTACTATAACAGCTTACAAGTGACCACTTTTTCATATGACCATACAAATTTTCAGTTCTGATAGTTTGAGTTATCTAAAACTTCACTTGGGAAATACTTGGTCAACCTTGAGATTAGTTTCAGGTCTTAAAAGTGATGATAGCACACTTTGGACCTGGAGTTGGGCTTAGGTGGCTTGGGTCTCAAAGAAGTGCCTGAACCCCCATCCGTTGGGTGTGGCGGTGGCCATGGATTCATAAGGGACTCCTTGAAGAAAGGGCCTTAATGGGTAGTGCTTACGGTGAATTCCCGAGTTTGATCTTAGGGAGTGTTTAAGGGGTATTTCTGCACCTCTCATATCAGTTGCGATTTTTGGGAGGAATAGCTGCGTCTCTTATCATTTTTTTTACTGAAACAATAATTGGGTTACTTCTATGTGACTGTCAATCTTTTTCCTTCTAATCTAATTACCTATTGCACTTTTTTGAACTCCTTATACAGTTCTTGGCTTAAAGTCACTTGAGTGGAAGAACACACCTCCTAATTGGAAGGGTTCAGATCCTTGTGGTAGTGAATGGGAAGGCATTGACTGCACAAACTCGCGTGTTACTTCCATGTAAGATCTTTTTCTAGTTCTTCATCTTTTCATAGTTAAAGAAATGCTGCTTCTTTCTGCCAAATCGAATTCTTCGTATTGAACGAAAAGGTTTGTGTTTTCAGAACATTATCAAGCCTGGGGTTGGAAGGTCAGTTGTCCGGAGAGATCGATCAGTTATCTGAACTAGAGGCTTTGTAGGTCTTCTATGACTTAGTTCTTGTTGGCTTTTGTTTAAGTAGTGAAAGATGTCTGGCTGTCAAGATTTTATAACTGGCTTTATCAAACATCCCCACCATTATTTGGAAACTAGACTTTCATATTCCATTTCTGATTGGTTATTCATATAGGGATCTATCTTACAACAAGAAACTGACAGGATTACTCCCAGAATCAATTGGGAATTTGAAGAAACTTTCAAATTTGTAAGGGCATGGTGGATTTATTACTATTTTTATTATATGTTTTAAGTTTGTTTTGAGATTTTGACACTGAACTTTTTTTCTTGTTTTTATACCTGCAAGAATCTTGGTTGGTTGCGGCTTCTATGGCCAAATTCCTGGCACAATAGGATCTCTACAGGAGCTCGTCTTTCTGTAAGGATTTTGCATTTTCATAGAGCTTATTTGGGATAGTTATTACTTCTTTTTTTAAGCCCCGACTCTTGAACTTACCATTTTGGCAGTATATTCTTAAACAACTTTTTGAGACGTAATTGAGTTTTTCTTCTTGTCATTCATTAGAGGTAGAATCAATATTTTTATAGCATCACAAAAAAATTATTTCAGGGATAACACTGGTTTTGATTAGTTTTTCCTGGGTCACTTCCACGTCCGAGTACTCTAGTAATTATAGTAATTAACAACAATCATGATAGTGCATTCTACAATTACTTGTGGTAATTACTGACCCGGATGTGACAAAAAAAAAAGAATAATAAAAACCAATGCTATTCATGAAATACTTTTTTTTAGTGCTTAAAAGTCAAAAGCGGGATTCTAAAAGCGATCACAAACAGGCCCATAATATGAATTAAAGCTATTATTGTGTTCTTAAATATCTTAATCTGTCTGCTAGCCTTCTAGGATTAAGACAAATATCAAATTTTACTAACTTATTCATGTACACTTGTGATAGTCAATTCCTTTTCATACAAATGCAGGTCCCTAAATTCCAATCGCTTCACTGGTCTGATTCCACCTGCCATTGGTAATCTATCCAAACTGTACTGGCTAGATCTCGCAGATAATAACATCGAGGGAATGATCCCAATCTCTGATGGGAAGACACTTGGTCTTGACATGCTACATCATTGCAAGCACTTGTATGGAGATAACAACATTTCTTTTCATACTATATATACTCTTAGGAGCTTTCTACAGTAGGGTATCCCTATTTATAGTACATGTTTCTAACGTTAGATTTGATCAAAATCACATCGAAACAAAAGAGTAAGTAAAACCGACATAATCTAATACAGATATGTGGTTCAACACAGAATCCTAACGAGAGGCCCTACGGTAGAATTTTGAATATTCTTATTCATCCAATTTTTCTGATCTTCTAAGGTTCTTTCTGTTATGAACAGCCATCTTGGAAAGAATAAGCTCACGGGAACTATTCCGGAGGAGCTTTTCAGCTCAAGCATGAACTTGATACATGTGTAAGATAAACGGCAATACTGACAATTCTCTTGAAATGTACTCTTTTTAGCTATTTGTGTTTTGTTGGGCATTTCATTGATCAAATTGCTGTTCCTATATCTTGAGTACTAGCCTGCATTTTTCTCTAATGGGGGTGCGAAGTTAATTTAATTATAAAACTGGGCTGTGGATTGGATGTGTTTTGGTAGAGAACCAAATGAAAGAAGTGTTGACATTTTAGTCATTTGATTCGCAGGCTTTTCGACAATAACGATCTAACTGGCAGCATTCCTTCCACTCTTGGACTTGTTCAGACTTTACAAGTGGTGTGAGTATCAACCTCACATAGTCTAAGTGAACTTTTTACAAGTTCCAAGTATCTATATAGTTTGAAAAATTTTGTGGCACAACATGAAAAAAATTCCACACTGGTAGGACACAGTTTAAAACCGTCGGATCACATCACAACCATAACAGATAAGAAAAGTAAAACAATTTAACCAAACTTGATGAGAATTTGACGGTTAAGAACTACCTGTGGGGAGTTTGTTAACTAGTTTCTTTCTTTTTAATTTTCCTTCCACTTTCCAGTATTGAACTGCATAGCCTCACTTGCAGGCGTCTTGATGGGAACAGATTAAGCGGGGATGTACCTTCAAACCTCACCAGTCTTACAAAAGTTACTGAGCTGTAAGCAGAAAAAGAAAATTACAAAATGAATCTCTTGACATGTGATTGAAATATCATTTTATGTTCTAAGAGATCTTGTTCTGGTGACCTGTTAATAGGTTCTTGTCCAACAACAAGCTGAGTGGCCCTCTGCCTAACCTCAGCAGCTTAAATTCCTTAAGTTACCTGTATGTTTAAGCTCTTTCTGTAGCAAACAAAGGATTTCTAGGAATTTGTTTTTACCTCCAAAAGAATATTATTTTCTACTCATCTTCTTAATTCTTGTGACAATGGCTTCTCGTGGTGAAATTAAATTAGCTAGTATGTGATGTGCAGAGATATGAGCAATAATACTTTTGAAGATTCAGATTTTCCTTCATGGATTTCAACCTTAGAGTCTTTGACAACATTGTATGTCTCTCTCCCTCCTTCTACATTGTGCTTTTGCACAGAGGGCATGTCTAACATTATCGATAATATGTGTAATCTCGTTTGGCAGAGTGATGGGGGACACAAACTTGAAAGGACAAATTCCAGTTGACCTATTCAGCCTTCCCAATCTAGAGACCGTGTGAGTATCATCACAAGTATAACTTGCTTGGATGAAAACAAATTCAACAATCAAATTCCTTTTTTTTTTTTTTTGTTTTTTGTTTTTTGAGCATGAAACTAAATAATTATGTTTTCATATAAAGAGCGAAGATGGTCTTTAGGTAATTTTCTTTGACATCAATGCCAGGGTACTAAAGAAGAACAGGCTCAACGGCACTTTGGAAATTGGCACTTCCTATAGCAACCGTCTCCGGCTCATCGATCTGCAGAGCAATTTAATTACTGAGTTTCCTGATGATAAAGTGCATCATGTTCAGATAATGTAAAGCATTTACTCCATTACACTTTTTTTTATCAATTTTATTTTTGTCTTGTATGATGCTAAAGAACTTGCTAATGCATGAGCATTAATTTTTGATGATTTCCTTTCATTTGTTTTCCTACAATCAGAGGCGGAGCTACATTTGTCTCAGTTACATGCCCCCAATAAGATTTTGAATTCTTTTTTATCATATATAAATTTTTGGAAAAATTTTGATTGTGCCCCGTCTAATCGAGAAAATTATAACTGTGCCCCCACTTAATAAAAAAAAATTATAAATGTACCATCCTTAATGATAGAGAATTTTAATAAAGTCCTCACTTGTCTCTTTTATGTTTCATATTGTGCCCCCACTAAGAGTTATATATCTTCTTCTCTTGCAGACTTGTGGATAACCCAGTTTGTCTGGAAACAGGAACAACAGCAAGTTACTGCATAATCCCAGTTTCCAAATCTCATAATACTAGCTCAAATGTCACAGAAAAGAACTACTGCTCACCCAATCTTTGCAGTTCAGATCAGAAATTCAGCCCCAACTGCAAATGTGCTTATCCATACACAGGAACTCTATACTTCCGAGCTCCGTCCTTCTCAGACTTGGATAACACAACTTACTACAAACTACTTGAGCAGTCCCTAATGTCCTTCTTTCAAATGCATTTAACTGCTGTGGATTCTGTCTCTTTGAGTAACCCCGACAAAGGTTCCTTTGAGTATCTTCATATAACACTAGAGGTATTCCCAAGTGGTCGTGATCATTTCAATAGAACTGAAATTTCACATATAGGTTTCGCTCTTAGCAACCAAACTTACAAGCCCCCGAAGTCTTTTGGACCCTACTATTTTATTGGTGATCAATATGAAAGCTATTCAGGTAATTCTTCAAACATGGACAAGAACAAACTTTAAGAAGGTTTTGATCGGTCTTTGAACTCTTTAAACACCTCTACTCAGGTACAGAAGTTCCTTCCAAATCGAACAAGTCGTCCAAGTTAAGTACCAGCATCATCATTGGAGCAGTTGCTGGTGGTTCTGCCCTTGTGCTTTTATTACTTCTTGCGGGAGTGTACAGTTTCCGCCAGAGGAGGAGAGCAGAAAGAGCAACTGAGAAGAGCAATCCTTTTGGTAAGACGACACTTGTTCTATTCCCCAGAAGTCAAGCAACACTTTATAATTATACCATGAGGGCTGATTTTAGTCTCTTAAACGAGTGGTTTTTCATCTCCAAATGTAGTGCACTGGGATTCAAATGCCACAAGTGGGGGCGTGCCTCAGTTAAAGGGGGCAAGATGGTTCTCCTTTGAAGAGATTGAGAAATGCACCAACAATTTCTCAGCAGCAAATGCCATTGGCTCTGGGGGTTATGGAAAAGTTAGTTTTGATAATTTCGTTTTCTGTAGTTACTAGTTCCGATTTCCAACACATGTTTGCATACAAGTACAAGATCTGTTTTTAATTCTAGCATCTTCTTTACTTTTGTATTTGGATTGTTTTTCCTTTTTCAGGTTGTGTTAGGCATTACATATTAACCAAATGCGTTTAACATTTTGTAGGTTTATCGTGGAACTCTGGCCACCGGTGAAGTGATTGCCGTCAAAAGACTTCAAAGTGAATCAAAGCAAGGCAAGAACGAGTTCAAAACCGAGATTGAACTCCTTTCGCGGGTTCATCACAAGAATCTTGTCACCCTTGTTGGATTTTGTTTTGAGAAAGGTGAACAAATGTTGATCTACGAGTATGCACCAAACGGCAGTTTAAAAGATAGTCTTACAGGTACTCCATCTTATTCTTCACCCTTATTAATTTTTTAACTATGGATTAGCTGCATATTCAATATACATTTCGATTACAACCGATTATCTACATCTACAGAAAAGTCAGGAATTAGGTTGGACTGGATGAGAAGACTTAGAGTAGCTCTTGGTACTGCTAGAGGCCTGGCATATCTTCACGAGCTTGCGGATCCTCCAATAATACACAGGGACATTAAGTCAACCAATGTACTTTTGGATGATCGCTTAAACGCAAAAGTTGCCGATTTTGGTCTCTCCAAACTTATGGGAGATGGTGAAAAGGACCATGTCAGCACTCAAGTCAAAGGGACAATGGTAGGTCTTCAACCTTTGGGCTCCTTGCATTTAATAAATTTGTTTATGCATTTTGTTTCATAGATTTCTATTACTGCTATGTGGACTTATATCTAATTGAAAGTTGCCGCAGTCATAAAAAGAAACATATTTGAACAAACAAAATACATTATATATTGAGACCATGGAAAAACATATATAGACTATTTTCCAAAGATGCATTGTTATTGTTCTTGTAAACCATAATGTTGATGTCTCTTTTAGCAAACAAGGAAAAAGAAAAAATTATCTATAATGTGGAAGATAATATAGATACAAAAACATTGAACTATTTTTATTTCCTAACAACATATTTCTTTATTGGTGTAGGGCTACTTGGATCCCGAATATTACATGACACAACACCTGAATGAGAAGAGCGATGTTTATAGCTTCGGAGTGCTGATGTTGGAGCTTATTACCGCGAGGAAGCCTATAGAGCAAGGAAAGTACATTGTGAGAGAAGTAAGGATGACAATGGACAAAACTAAAGATTTGTACAACCTCGACACATTTCTAGACCCAGCCATCGGTTTGGGTACAAGATTGATCGGTTTTGAAAGATTTGTGGACTTGGCAATGAGATGTGTTGAAGATGCAAGAGTGGACAGGCCTTCAATGAGTGAGGTGGTGAAAGAGATTGAGGCCATTATGCAGCATGCTGGTTTGAACCCGAATGCGGATTCAGCATCCATTTCTGCAAGCTATGAGGAGGCAAATAAACAAGCCCCAAACCATCCTTATAGTCAAGATTCATTTGATCATAGTGGATCCTTTCCGCAATGAAAGATAGAGCCTCAGTAAACTTGTTTTGAACTTGAATTATGCAAGTTGGTTGCAGTAAGCAGGATCTATCTATACTGTTTCTGTATGTAGCAGTTATTTGTAAGGAAAATTGTTGTCACATTTAGAGAGGGGTTTTCGGCGCGGATCTAAATATGTTGTCCAATATTCACTGTTCTAATTGGTGTCTAACTAATTAAATCATACCACATCGTTTCATGATAAGCACCAAAGAATTAGTTAAAAAGCAATTCAAATTTTTACATGACGTGGTATGATTTGATTGGTTAGACAGTAATTAAAACACCAAAATTAGATAGGAGATTTGAGTCCTTTCGGCGCTGTTACTTGCAAAAACCAATAGCGCGGAAAGTACATCCATAAAAATATTACATACATCGCGCGTAGAAGTTTCCATATATTATTTTGTTTTTGTATTTATATTTGTTCTAGTTATATTTTTATTTCATGGAGTTCAGTTGTCTAGATAAAGTTGATTTTCGATAATCTCAATTTTTAGCGGCTATTTAATACCTAATCCCTATGGAGACGATACCCACTCACCTTTTACTATCAAAACTTTACACTGTGCACGTGTGGACGAACAATAGCTTGCATCTAAATGACATTTCTTGAGCGCCAGGGTATAGAGTATAAGAATGAAATTTTCCCCAACAATAAAAACATGAAATCTAATATATATGACAATAAGGATAATGATATGAAGTTTTAATGTTATTAGCTAATGATGATAATAATCAATAATATCGATAATAATAGGCAACATACAGCTTGCCAATAACAAATGTGGTACTTGCTTACATGCCAATTTAGCACTATACTCAACGTTGTTAACAAATCTTATATCATGTATATTAACACCTGAACTTTCTTCTTCGGAACTGAGGCGGTTTAACAAGATTTTCAACTTCGCCGCCGAATATCACCACTGTTTTCTCGACAGGTCAAATTTCGGCATGCGTGATGAGTACTTGTCTTATAATTTGTGTTCTGCAGTTGACGTGTGAATTTGAATATTAATAGTTTAAAACCAATGGTGTTGTTCAGTTTTTACGCCAGAAGTATATGTTTACTCAAACTTAAAAAAAAAAGAATAAAAACTCCGATTTAGTTATCTCCAAATGATCAGTTAATCAAAATCTAATTTTATTTGATAAGTAGTCAGTTAATTATCAGCAATATCATATTAGTGTACTTAACATGTTGTTAGAAAAGTTTGGAGATAAGTGTACATGGAGGAAAAGCCAACAAAATATATTTATGACTGACAAGGAAGATGGGGTCAATGAAAATATGTCCATTTTCAATCAACGGTGTGATGGGAAGTCTAGAGTTGCAGCGAAGGAAGGGGTGTATTGAATAGCAAGGGACCTACACTTTCAAGATCAACCAATATTGTGACATCTTTGGAGAGAATTATGAATTAACACTTTTGTTTCTTGTGTGGAATATTAATCAAGCATGTCACATTTGTTAAGTATTTTTATTAATTGGCAATTTATTGACAATCTTGTAAAAATTCAAAAAATAGGTTCAAGAAGATTTCATATTGCAAAAGAAGATTCAGAATCAGATTTGATGTTAAAGATTACAGAGAGATAATGATAAAGCCTTGGTCAAATGAAGATAAGGCATGTTGTGTGCAGATTTCTTGGAGATATGGATTGTGTTTCAATTTCAAATGAGAAGATTAAAAGTGACACCTCATGTGGAGAAGATAAAGCATATTATGGTTTGGTTTTATGTTTGAATTTCAAAGAGAGCTTTATCTACAAAAGTAGATTTGAAGATAAATGGGAGATATAGCATGTGGAGATCAAGCAAAGTTTATCTTTGGAATATATATATATATATATATATATATATAAATACATACATACATATTGCACATGGACGTGGATGTTTTTCTGTGCATTGACGTGGAGCAAACATATTAAAGTGAACATGAAGATTATATGTTGTATGTTGAATTCGGTTTTGAAATTCAAATGCACATATTAATGCCGCAAAAGGTGATGCAAAAAACATGAAGATATTGTGCATAATCTGGATTCAAAAGGAGATCTAGTTTTAGTTTGAATTTAAAAAAGATGCTCAACGTGGAGAGAATTTGGAGGAGCTTTGATAAGATAGCTCACAGATATTTTGAGGAAGAGATTCGTGTGAAGTCTAAGAGGTTTTATTTAAAGGTTTTATCGCAGCTCATAATTGATGGGGGTTTAATAGAATATTTTCATAAAAGAGTGTGTGAGTTTTTTTTTTTTTTTTTTTTTTTTTTTTTTTTTTTTTTTGTGAGCATTGTGCGTTATTGAGATCGTCCTTCGGGAGAGGGATTTGTTGCTTTCGGGAGGAAGCTCTGTAGGTCGAAGGGAGTTCGCCGTGCAGTTTAAAAGACGTGTGGTGCACGCTAAACAGAGTCATTGTGCGATTTCATCACAGCGGCGTCATAGTCTAGGAGGGAGTGCTTGAGTGAATAAGTCCGTCAGTGTTGTAATTCTTGAAGTATAGTGAAACTGTTTACTGTCTGGGTGTTACACCCATTTTTCTAACTGACAAATTCATAGAAATAGACGTTAGAAATTAAAATGATTGATGTTATGGTGTTATAATTAGTTAAATTCTAACATCACGTTGAGTTATATTCTGCAGGTGAACGCGACGAGGACTCGTGGTGTAAGAACAAGTTCATGCCAAACTGTTAAATTTTATATGATGATTTGATGGAAATGTGTGTTGATTTAATACCATTAATAGATTATGCAAATATATAGTTTTACAAAATACATATTAGATATATATGTCAAGTTTTAAATACAAATTGGTTATATGTTATATTAAAAAAAAAAACGTACTTACACGGTCAATTTTATATTTATATATATACACACACACATAAGCATCAATAGTCAACCATAGTTATGTTATTGCACTTTATTGCTGATAATTGATTCTATGCCAAATAGCTAAGGGTGAGGAATTGCATTATGTCTTTTAAGTCAATGAAAGTATAACGAAACATCAATCATGATTTGCAATTCGTTTTCCACCGCAATGACAGCCTATAATCACCCAAATTAAGTCAATTAACATTCAAGTTAATTCCAAAATTTATTTGCAATCAAATTGTGAGTAATTTCTGTTTATATACATGTTGACCAATACAAATCTTAATTCTTTTAAGCAGCCAGCTTTATCATTTTTTTTTCCGTTCCATTAGAAAATTTTTACGCTTTCTCCCTCTCAAACTCCTACCCTCTCTCTCTCTTTTACCTCTCTCTGTCACTTTTTCTCAAGAGCCCTAGCCAACATAGAATTTTTCATTATCTTCCTTTATTCTTTTAAGAAGAATACAATATTGGAAAAATTATTTTAAAGGTATGTGTTCTTATCATAATATTTCGTGTCTTTGTTATTGATGGAGGGAGATGTTCATATATCTTCATAGTTTTGTGTATGATAGTTGTGACGTTATTGTTGAGGAAAATGTAATGAGATTGTTATCGCTAAGTTTTTATTTTTTGCTACGATGATAATTTTGATTGATTGATAGAATGGCATATTTAGAATTTCTTTTTATGCTTATGTGAGTGTTAATCCTCTATTTTCTTTATTTATTGTTTTTATTTATTTATTTATTGTGGATAATATTAGAAACATGTTTAGGTTGTTTCCGTGATTTATTTGAGTTATATATGATTTCTAGTTAGGTGTTGATGAGAGTTGTTGTATGATGCATGTTTTAAATAATTCTCGGATATGATTATGTTGGAAGCATGTTAGAGTTGTGGTTAATATAATAGGCTGACATACATGATTTTTGATGAGTTTTGGACGATTGAAAGGGAATTTCTTGGTTAATTTCGGATTATAGAGTGCTGGAATTTCTCCAGGTTTCATATCTTATTTTAAAACAGGGTTTCAGGGAGCAAACGATCTCTGTTTTTAACAAATTAGATATCGTTGGAAAGCTCTAGATGTCTACTTTAATTTGAAATTAGTTTCAGGTCATTTGGAGTTATATGTGAATTGTTATGAGTTTTTAAATTAGTAAAGGTCAGGCTGTCAGTTTTTCTTTAGTTTTGTGATTTTGTGTAACCAGTGGGTTTTTATGTCTTGATGTTAATGAACGGTGAGAATGGTATATTAAACGCTGTTTTAACGTGATTAATGTATTTGATGAGATGTTAAGGCTTTTTTTTTTAGTAATCTTATTTATGATTTATGGCATGAACGGTTCTAGAAGCAAGCACCCAGGGACCTCATTCGTCGCGTCACCGTTGTGAAATTTTAAAAGGCTAAGTAAGGTGCTCAAGTAAGTACACTCTCACCTGCAACATGAATTGAAGAATTGAGAAGTCTATGATTTTGATGTTTATGATGATGTTATGATGTTTTTAATAATCCTCTTATGATGACGTTTTAAAGAAAAATGTATATATGTATTTTTATGTTTTTAAATGGCATTGTACACCCTTGATGTGACCGGTGAGCGGTCTTATTGTCACGGTTGGTTTGGGATTTGCTACCCCATGCTTTTCGTGGCTAGCGCGCTATGATGGTACAACGTCGGGCCCAATATATGATGGATTTTAAAGTCTAAATATGTTCAAAAATAATTATTCTCAAGATGATGTTTATTGTTGATGAATAAAAATATTCATTTAAATTTGTGAGAATTAAGTGTCTTACTAAGCCCTTGCTTATATAAGTTATTTCATGTTGCAGACAATCTAAATGGTAAGATGTAGCCATGGAGAATATTGGAGCGGATGCGAGCTATGCATGATAGGAAAACGAGAAAAACGATCATGGGATGAAAGTGTTTAAGGTTAAACAAAGTTTTTGGTTTTTACTTTTATTGTTTTGAAACTTCGGTTTATGGTGGTTTTGATTTGAAGAATATTTTAGACTTTATAGATTTTTAATACCTAAGTTGAACTGAAGGTTGTTTTATTTTTCTTTGAGGAAGTTCAAAATTTAAAGATAGTATGTTTAAAAAAAAAAAATCTAGGCTTTTCTTTAAGTCGTTCAAAGCAAAGTATTTCAAGTTGAATGATTTTTCGCATTCTTTAAGAGGTAAATGTTTAAAAGTTAAGATAACTGTGACGGTCCATGAGGGGTCGTTACACTGGGCGTGGCCCCGCAAAATAGGTGTGCGCACCGAACTGCGATATCATATTGTGTGTTCATTTACTTTCTGCATTTTATTTTGCTCGAACAACTGAACGTAATTAACCCAGATCTTATTATGCAACTTATCTCTTTACTAGCCAATGATCTCGTCGGTAGTAAATCGCCAAGCATATACGAAACTCGGGCATTAAAATGCTATGTTGTCAATAGGGTATTTGGTTTAAGAGTATTTTGTTTTGTGATCATGATAGATTATGGCTCGGAGTAAATAGTTGATGCTTCCATTTTCCTTAAAATCTAAACAAAAGTGAGAAAGCTTTCGAAAATCTAGTTTGTTATTGTAATGGATCAAAAAATAAATGTGGTTTCGTCTCTCATATTCTCCTCAACTTTTCTTATTGCATTGTCAAACAATCAGGACGGTAAGTTTATTTCAGCTATTCTCCTGTAGTTTGATTTTTGCAAGCGTTTTCGAAATGTGGACTTAACGACGGTTTTTAAAGGATAGTTGATTGTTGATGAGGCCATTTCTGTTGGTGAAAAGATAGTTGGTTTGCAAATTATATACACATCTTGCCTTGTTGATGGGTGCAAATCGGACCTCAGCAAATGCAGGGACTATCACAGACGCCACAAGGTTTGTGAGCTCCATTCAAAGACCCCGAGGGTTACGATCGGAGGTCAGGAACTGCGTTTCTGCCAGCAGTGCAGCAGGTAAGAAGAGCACTAAATTCTTTAGTATGAAATAAATCATCAATTTTCTTGTCATTCCATCCTTTTATATACATACATATTTGTATAACTATTTTTTTTAAAAAAAAGGGACTACGGCCTTTGCCTACACACACATAATAGCCTAGGTGCTTAATCAAATATTTGCTTTGTGCAGAATGCTTCTTTGAATAATTATTGATAAAAATAACTTGTTTAGATTATGTCTAGATTAATATCACCACATGTTGCAATATCCTATATGCATGTTCTGTTTCGTTTGTGCTGTGTTCTTCCCTATGTTCAAATGTGGCCTTCTTGTAAGCTTAAAAGTTGAACAATCATGTGGATGCATTCTTAAGGTTCCATTCCTTGGTGGAGTTTGACGAGGAAAAACGAAGCTGTAGAAAACGACTTGATGGACACAACAGACGCAGAAGGAAGCCTCAACCAGAAACTTTTCCCACGAATTCAGGAGGATTCCTCTCCAGCTACCAAGGTTTGAATTTCCTCATTTCGAGGATTTCTTCTCATTACCACATTCCATAAGACTTTACTTGTGAATTAACATTTTTGTAATCTATTTATAAACTTATAGAACTCTACTCTTGCGCAGGTACAAGATTCTCACCATTCCCCAGTCCACATATATTTCCAAGTTCTGCAATGAGCGCTGCTTTGGCTATAGCTGGAGCTGCAAAATCCGAGAGCGACATGGCGCTATATAGTAGCCATACGCAGTCAAGTGGCACGAGGAAAAACCACCCTTTTACTGGATCTTTGAGCCATAGTTATAGTGGAGCAAAGGAACTCTCATTTTTACAAGGCTCAAGTTGCAGCCTCCCACTAGCTGCCACGTCCCAACCCCTTGTGGACTCAAATCCTGCATTGAGCAACTCATCTGGCCACAGCCGAAAGATCTACTCTCAGTGGTTATACCGAGACAACGACAACGATGAATCCAATTGTGCTCTCTCTCTTCTGTCATCCACGCCAACTGATACTTGTAAAGAGATTTGTTTGAGCAACATGGTGCAGCAGTCCAATTCCGCAGCCACAAGGCGGGCTCAGCACTCGATCCCCAGCCTGCACTACCGTGGTTTAGGAATGGTGAGTGAACCACTTGTACCTTCTGCCCTGGCTTTAGATTACAGTGCAAGTGATGATCTCCATTGCCAGCAAATGTTTCGAATTTGGCCTGACGGATCTTCATCTCGCGGTCATCACCATACTTCTCCTCGTGGTAGCCATATACTGTGACGACCCTCCTATGAAAATTTGCGGAACATTTTTTTTTTTTTTTAATATAAGAAAGAATACTTTCATAATTTGTAATAATAATTTCAAATAAGTGAATCACTAAATTTCTTAAAGCTTTTCTTAATTTCAGTTAAGATAAAACGTTCTAAAAATATCTTTCAAACAGAGCAGCATTTGAACTCTTATTTCAAATGCTCTTTAAAAGCCTTTCTAAAACTAGCCAATTCAATCGGGCCATTTAATTTTGACTTTGAAACGGATTTCGTGAGAAATCTTAAATTCAAGTACATCTTAAAGCCCTTTTA